ACTCTTTCCATCTCTTTCAGATCAGTTACTAAAGTATAGCTGACAAAGACAATTGTATGCCAGTCTTCCTGGAGAAGATAGCATTTCATTTATACTTAATACCCTATAGGGGTATTTTTATTTGAAGATACTTGCAAATTAAAATTTACAGTCAGGAAACTGAGGCAGAGATAGACACGGCTTGAAAGTCCCAGAGGGGACTCCTCAAGAGCTGATCTCAAGAACAACTTCCAGTTCTAGATGTCCCTTTGCATTTGCTGTTTATCTTCCATCATCTCAACAGGCAAGAAAATCACTGTTGGGTTGGTAACTTAATTTTCCAAACTGTTTACCAACCAACCACAGTTCAGAGCAAAGTTTTTTGGTTATTCATGTTTATTGGCAATAGAACTGTGTAAGATAGTGATTTGCTTGCTAAGGGAGAAACAGAGACACATGAATCAGCATGTGTAAACTCAGATTAGAGTCAGAAAAAGTTACTGAAAGAATCCCCTCACATTCCTCCTTCTAAGCATTGTAAACCACTTCCAACTGAAGAATGTTACTGTACTTAATACAGTGGGGTCACAGTACCTTGAAAACACTACAGCAACATTTAGAAAGCAGTAACTGGGAATTAGTTTGAGTAGAGGTAACATTTTGATAAATGGAGAAGTAGAAAAGCCAGTATATTTTAAAAAAAAAAAAAAAAAAAAAGCCAAGGACATGAAGACTGTAGATTAGCATAGGAACTTACTTCTCTGAACTTACACAGCTCCTTTCAGCCTCCAGTAATTTTTGCCTTCTTATCTTCTGTGATGCTGGATTTAATCTCAAGTGTGGTGAAAAAACTCCAGATAGATCACCATATCACAGTCTTGAACAAACCAAAATTAGACTGTTGCTTTACTATGCGACTCCAGTAAGAAACTGCACAACATTATGCTGCCCTGGCAGGAGATTTAACCTTTTCAGAATCACAAGCAGTTCCATGCTCAAAACACATTCCAAGCTGCTGTGGGTCACAGCTCTGCACTGGAAATGTTTTGTGAGTTTTTGTAGCAGAACTGATTATCTGGTTTATTTGTTCCCACCAGCAGGCTTTGGAAGGATGTTCTGATGCTGCATTAATCTGAGCCCTGGAGAGCCGAAGTTAAATCATGCCAGGTGCCTGGAAACAAAAAAAAAAATTCCATCTGGAATTTGACCAGGAAAGCCTCAGAGCTGGTTAAACCACTCTATGACAAAAATAGGAATACTCACATATGTAACATTAATCATATTCTTCACAAATTAAGGATATATGATTAATTCTTAGCTCACCTTTTAGAACTCTTAAAGCTTTCCTCATACAAAGACACCTTTCTACTTAGGCTTTCTCCAACTCTCACAAACAATTAAAATAACAGTCTTTCATGAAGGAAGTATGACAATTGCTATGAAGTTGTTCTTTCAGGTTTTAGAGCTCATCCCTCTATTTTCATGTTACCTTCCCTGATCCCTGTTTTTTCAGGCTTACCATGGACAGGATCAAACTGTTTCTGGAGGTAGCATGAACAGTAAAGACTCTACATACAGAACTGAAAGTGAAAGCAGAAAGCAATCTTCCTATCTGTTCCAAGGACATCCCAGTTGCACTCTGACCCATACTTGGCTTGTATTATTTGCAAAGCTCTCAAAAACAGATAAAGCAATAATAATGATTACCAGACCTTGAAATTACCAAGACAAACTAAGAAATGAACAACCTAAACACCTAGGTTCCTTTGCTGTGAAGAGTGAGTAAAATTTCTCTATTATAGGCAAGGCTATTGCACTATCTAGGTCCATTTACTCTTTGAATAAGAGACCATACAATGGTTTCCCCAAAAATAAGCCAAAGCCATAACCTTTTGGTCTGAAAAATCACCTGATAACTGCACCAGAGAACTTGAATGTAACTAGAGAGGGCAGAACAACAGCGAAAGGATATGAAAGATGGAAAAGAAGCAATACTTCATAGTTTCTCTGTGGATTGGTGTGTGACACTGTAGGAAAACAAAAGAAATTATCTCTTTGCTAGGCAGATGCCATGACAATTTCCTAAACACACATGTTCTCTATGGTAACTTTTGAATGAAACAGGGATAGACATTAAATATTAGGAGATAGTGTTCTCCCAGTGTACTCTGAACCATCTTGGGGCATAAGGCACTGCAAAATGAAGGAGGTAGCATAGGAACTGCAACCCCGCCAGGTTATCTGTGATGCAGAGGGAATTCTGAATGAAGCATCCCACTACAAGATTTCCCAGCTGCAGGACCAGGTGTTCACACATCCCATACCACTATTTAAGAGTACTCTTCGGCACCCAAGCCCATCCACTTCAATTTAGTATTTTTGACAGTACTTGTATCCAAGGAGGAAAAAAAAAAAAAAAAAAAAACAACCAGAGGATTAGGAAATAACTGTCAAAAAGCCAAATACCTGAAGAAGCCAAACCATCAAATATCAGAGTTTGCATTTGAAGTGATAATTGCAAAGAAAAATTTCAATCCGATTTGAAATGAACACACTTAGAAGTAGATGGAACAAAGGATATATAAACAATACTGACTTTATTTTATCTAAATTTTACATACAACAACTTTTATTCCAACTACTGGAGTCAACAGTCTCAAGAACAGTAAATTTTAAATTCATTACAGCTAAAAATGCAGAGGGAGTCTCAAAGAACAGTCTGAACTTGTTTTAATCTTGAAAAGAACCATATATAAGAACCATAGTAAAGAAAAAGCATATAAAAAGGTATTTAAAAATGAAGTTTGATTTATAATGATATCGTTATAGATCCTCCAAGAATCTCCCATCATCAACATTTTAATATTTCTTTCAACTACAAATTAGCCATTACAACAGACATTATAGCTTAGATACAAGAAATAGGTAGTCTTGCAAGTAGCACAGCAGGCTCAGTGTCAGTAAGTGAAACATCACAGAATAGCGAAAACATTCACGACGGAAGCCACATATTTCCATGTGTATCAGGGGCATTAGTGTAAGGAATATTCCAAATCCATGGTTGATCTGTAAACCAAAAACAGGTTTATGACAAATTCAGTTATTAAAAGTAGAATTTTGATCCTCTTCCTCCCCTCCCTTTGTAGAAAGGTGAAAATTCCCACTGATTTTCATAAAAGTCCATGTGCCATTTAACTTTACTAGACATTTTGATTTCAGCTATTTTTTAAAATGGTAAGATTTAGAGTTTTCAAAAGGCTTTGATTTCCCCCCCCAAATTATTTTGAATATGATTATTAGAACCCAACATACATTACATCCCCATCAGCTGTAAAAGAATTGTATTTCAGACAGCAGACATGAACAGTCATGCATCCACATTTGGTTTAGCCCATAGGCATCAAGTTCAGTGCTGCACATCTCTTAACCCAATGGAATTATAAGTCAGTGAAGTAATGTGGCAGTATTTTTTACACGGATAGTAAGAATTCAGTATCTAAGACTGACTCTGCCTGACCTCTGAAATGTTCAAGTTCACACCTCACTTCGGATGTTACATCTTTACTTGTGCAACAGGTTTGCAGCAGACAGTTCTTCCCCTCCACGTCTCAGAATACAGAAGCTATTCCTACTCTTGGAGAAAAGACAACACAGCAGGAACCAAATGCTAGCTCCGCAATCTGCTTGAGGCTTTTCCTCTGACTGCAGACATGTTGCAGAAAAGCCCCTGGGTGTATGAAGCCTAGCTATTACTCCAGTTCTCTCGGGTTACCCTTACTGAAATACAGAGAAAAATCATTCAATCCTCTCAGTGATTTTTCTCAAACAGGAAGTTTATATAAATCCTACCCGCTTCTTTTTTCCACCTACAAAATGAGCCTTGAAGGAAGGCAGTGACATCAATCTGTACAATGCACACAATTAAACTGAATTGTACTGAGGATGATGGGAGTAGTTTATTTATCAAAACCAAGCTATTCATCTACATAATATGCTATGTACACTTGCTAAAGAAGATTTGACACACTTGTCAATTCAAATTTTGGATAAGCTATTTATCATAGACTGTTGTCCAATTTTAAGCTTACAGGATCCAATACCAGGTCTTACAATATATGAAATGAGAATTACTGTAGCAAGAAGAGTAAGAAAGTGACAGAAGCAGTAATGAAGGCATGTACAAACTGCACAACAGCACGCTGTGACAAGTACCGCACCAATTAAACATGGGGCAGGGAGAGCATTCCTACTATATACTCGCTACTTACCTGCTACTAGAGTGCACTTAATTCTAGCACTGTAGCTCTATATGTTGCAGTGAAACATATCCCAGCTATGCAAGTGTTTTACAGAGGTATCTGTTTACAGTAGTAACAGGGTAACGGGAAAACGCTTTAAATTATCAGAGAATTGAATGCATTTGACTTGAAAAAGGACTCTACATTCAGAGTTCATGAAGACTGATAGGGATGTTGCAAGTCACGGGTATGTGATCACCAGAGAGAGAACAGCCTGTGCAACAAATGCCATCTTTTACATTATGTTATTACAAGAGCACAATAAAAGCAAACATCCCTGTCTTCTCCTAATTTAAAATAATTATATAGCTTCTAGGTGGAAGAAGTAGTTGGCTAGCTTTTAGTTATAGCAGACAGGTGATTTTCAAGCACAGAAAAAATAAAAGGCATTGGAAATCAGAATAAACTACAGTACTTAACTTGGCATACTGCCAGAAAATGTCTGTAGGTTTCTGAATCAACTGCAGGATATCTAGACCTTGAGTCATCTCTTCAAATCAAACCAAACCAAAAAGATAGCACCACTATTTCCCTAAGCTGCTTCTACCGGTCTCCTGTTTGAAAGCCATGTGTGCCTTTTGTCTTTTAAGTGAGTACCTTACCGCATAGTAAATATGAATAGTTATAAGAATGGGTATAAAATAAAGCAAATTTTTGAAAAAGCAATAAGGTTTTCAAGTATACATTCATTTTTTATCATTGACCTCTAATCCATGACATCAGAATAAATCCAGTCCCTCTCAGACACTGGAATCTGTCACTTGGAGTCCATTATGCAGCTTGGACCTATTAATCTTCACTACCATTTGCAGTTACTGTTTAATTCAGCAAAACATAAAGGAAAAGGAAGACTTAGATGTACAGAAATTACTTCAGTTACCCCTTAAAGCACTCTGAGAAGCTTCAACACCTAATTTAGCTCTTTTTACTGTGGCCGTCTTAAGAAAATTTTATTAAGGTAGCTACTGACGTAGTTGAAGCTTTGTTCTATTAATGGAATGCTGTTGGATTTATAAAACACCTGATACTATTTTAATAAGCCATGTGCAAAACTGTTACTGAAACAAGTAATTCAGTTACTTTTAAAATGTCAGATCAAGTTTAAAATTATTTATCACTTTTAATAGGAGCTGTATCAGCAAGAGAAAGACAGTGACGGTGTACAAATACCGTAAGACTGTAGCAACTTACTGTTGCGCGCTAAATGATTGCGAGGCTTTTGAAAGTTAAACACTTATCTTCTGGGGGAGAGGGAAGAGGGAGAGCGGAGGTTAACTGTTCCCTATTTACAGCCCCATTACACACATTTTTTAAGTGTGCTCAATGTACCTAACTTCCACACGTTTTGAGTTCAGTTCTTCATTTCTGATAACACTACTTCCAATAAGGGGTAGTTGATAGACAATCTGTGACCTAGTACCACTGCTTCCTTCTTGCCTCACTTAGAAGCAGCAGAACTCTAGCACTAGAGTTAGTACACAATAAAAGGAATGGGGCCATTCCTGCCCCACTGCTGCTTTAAGATTATCTGAAATCTCAAAGTGCCATTTCAGTCAGGCAGACTTTTGAAGATTCTCTCACAACTGAAGAGACCATCACATTTAATTTAAAGATAGAAAGGACCTGGAGAACAAGTTATTTCAAGTACACCTGATCAATCTCTCAGAGTCCCCCACATTTTGAGATCAAGTTACAGAATAAGAAATCATGAACTGACAGTGAACAAGGTTCTGCAAATTTTAACAACAGTACTTTACACATGCAGTATATTGTGTAGGTCAGAAACACACCAGCAAGCCATCTCAAAACTTCATGTTCTCATAAATATGACAGATGGCAGTACAGTATGTACAGCCAAAACCAGAAAAGTCTGTGAATTACAGGAACATGCAATTGAACAGTAAAGTATAAAATACAATTAAGGATCTTTGTGATTCTCTTCCTACAGTGTAAAATACAAGTGTCTTCTGCACTTGGCGGAGATCTGGATAACAGCTATTCCTGGTTGATTTCTAAATCCAGAAACTGGATTCTTACATCATCTTTCACAGTATTTCATGAGTCTTCCAACTGAAGAATTTAGCTTTTAACTACAATATGTCTTCACATACATTGAAAGGGTACTCATAAATAACCAGAGTTCTTCAAGTTATTCCACATATACATTCTACCACAGCACATTTATTCCCTGCTGCGTGAAGCTGGAAAGTTCTCCCTTTCAGCATTTGTGGAAGGTGCATGCTATACTTCAGTCTCTTTTCTCCCCTCCCTTTAGATGAGCATGGCATTTACAAAGGAACTCATCTGGTACCTCTCAATGCAAAAATCATACTTGAAAGATTTCAAGAATGGGGAAAGACAGGTGGGGTAGAGGTGTGGGATCTATAACAATATACACAGAGAAGGTAATAATTCCAGAAGGCCAGGACAATGGCCACTTGGTGAAGAAAAAAAAGAAAACACCCTGTACTGCTGTTTAAAAGCAGGATTTGCTTTGTTTCTCAGTAAGAAAAAGAAAGTCCTTTGCACTTTTCTGAGGCCTTTCCCAAGTTGTTCTAAAAAAAGCCCTTGATGTACATATTGAATTTTCAGGTTCCTCCCATATAGCAGATGTTTTGCTTAGTCAGTAAATTGTGTAATATCTAAATCACAAATTAAGTTATATTCCTCTACTACAGCAAGCAGCTTGTACTTTTTTCCACACAAAGGTACAAAACAACCCTGGAGTTATATCCTTTTGTGTAACGTACATCTGTTGTAAGAAACTTCTCAATAGGGTAAAACAAAAGTGATGGGGAAATCAGTCCCTACATGCACTAAATGAAATGCTGTACCTTCATGAGAGGATAAGGTCAACTTGTAAGAGATATAATTGCAACTGAAATGTGACAATGGAGCTCAATGAGAAGACAATTTTATACAACAAAATAGTTGTACTCATCTGAAAGGTTCTAGAGGGAAATAAAAATCTGAGTATTACCAAAGGCACAAAGAAATTTTTTTTATAAAGATATCTTGCAAAGTAAGATTGGCTGTTGTGTGCATGGTTCCCAAATACGAGATTGGATCATTTTCTGGTTTCCTTCAAAAGAACTCTAATTATATCACTGGTCTATAGGTTTCTTTTCTCTTAGTATCATCAATACATTTAGCTTTCTTATAGTTTTTTTTTTTTTTTTTCCTGTTATGACAGCCTGAATCTGTTGGTTAACAACAGAGGATTCCAGGAGATAGTTGTATCTATATAGTTTATCTGTCAAGGTATTAAGCAGTACTATCAGCTATCAGGCAATTTTTTAAAATTTTTTAAAAATTTTTTAAATGCTTTGCCCTGAAGATGCATCTGTTGCCCACAGATGGGCTTCTAAAATTCAACTGCAATTGCTCAAATCTGCAAAGAGTTAATAACATACATGTTGCACACAACAAATGTTATTTGCTAAAAACTAATGAGGTTCTTTGTCACTTCAGAATGGGAATGATCTTAATCTTTATTTTAAAACTGCCAGATGTAAAACATGCATGTTATTCCCTGCAGCAAGAGAAAGATGCAAGCTATGTATATCATGAATAATAAAGCTGTTTTGCGCTGGTAATTTAAAGCAGCTGGGAAGAAAAAGTCTAAAGGAAAAATGACCAGGTAAAATTCTCTGCGCAGCCTTAACTCTGATCTGCTAGGATGACATACTGTTACATCTCCTCAGACTTCAACTGCGAATCTTACATTCTGCACAAGAGGGATCAAATCACATGGAAGTTCAACAACTA